TAAGTTCCTTAGCTTTTATTAATAGTAATTTGCTTAGGACTTGATCATAATACTTCCTATTGTTCATCTGTGAACTTAGTTTTCCTGGACTTTTAGATGGCTTTTCAGATGGCATTACTGAGCTTGGCTTTTAAGGTTGGCTCTGTTTGCCACACTCACTTTTATATGGGCCTTCTCTTTTCTTCACCTGTTGTCTCTGTCCTGCTCAAGTTTGACTCTGCAGTGTCCCTGTGGTGCAGCATTCTGTTCTGGAGAAAGTCTTGCTGGGTCAACTTTCTGAGGAGATGAAAACTGGATTGCTCTAATGCCTTTCGGCCTTACCCAATCCCTTCCATCTATTCACTTTGGAAGTGGACAGTGGCAAGGACTCCTCCAGCTGCCAGTGCTATGCTCAAATCAGCCCACTAAACTCTCCAGTAAATACCTATTGGCTGTGTTTCTTTTTTTCAGATCAGCTATTTGTAAATAAAACAGGTCCTTCATCACAGTGTTTGAGAAGCACTGATGAAGGAATGAGCAGAGGGAAAGATGAGTGTTAGGAGCCTTCATGGAAGAGAGAATCCTTAAGCTGGGCCATAAAGGGCAGTTGAGGTAGGAAATGGATGTTGATGTTTCCTAGGGCTCTGCCTTTGTCTTCCATCTCACTTTTTCAGAGGGAGCCCATCCATTCTAATGCCTTTAAGCATCACTTTCAAGGCAAACATTCCCCCAGATCTAGGTCTGAAGCTCAAGAATCTTTTTAACATCAGACTTGCTGAACCACTTGGAAGGCCCCATGCATAACAAACCAGCTTGGCCCAAACCAAGAGAATAACTTTATCCTTAAATCTTGTAACTGCACCCCATAAGTTACATGGTATTTTTTCTTCTTGTTTATTTAGAAATATTTTCTAATTTCTTGTGATTATTTTCTTTGACCTATAGATCATCTAGAAGTATCTTGTTTAATTTCCAAATCTTTTGGAATTTTTTAAGTATCTTCACTATTGATTTCTAGTTAATCCCATTAACATTCTTTATATAGGTGTTTTCCTCTCAATTATATTGAGACTTATTTTATGACCTAAACTATAATCTTTTGGATCCTGTTTGCATGCACTTTAATAGAACGTATGTCCTGCTGTAGTTTGGTGCAAAATTCTAAAATGTCAATTAGGCCAAGTTAGTTGATATCAAGATCTTTTATATCCTTATTGATTTTCTGTGTACTTATTCTACCAATTACTGAAATGATTATCTATTCTTCCAGTTTTATCAGTTCTATCAGTTTTGCTTCATATAGTTTGAAGCTCTAGATTTTAAATGCTAGCTTTAGCATATAATAAGTTCACAAATATACATGAATCTGTTAAGTCTATTTCTTCACTATTTTGTTCCATTGATCTCTTTATGTATCTTCATATCAGAATCATATTATTTTAATTACTGTGACTTTAGATCATACTTTGATTATCACTAAGGGAAACTCTCTTACCTACAGTTAACTTCTTTTTCAAAAATATCCTGGTTCTTTCCGGTTGGTGTGGCTCAGTGGACTGAGCATCATCCCATGGACTGAGAGGTCCCGGTTCAATTCCCAGTCAAGGCATATGCCTGGGTTGAAGGCTTAATCTCCTGTGGGAGCCATGCGGGAGGCGGCCAATCAACATTTCCCTCCCCCATCGATGTTTCTCTCTCTCCCTTCCTGTCTCTCTAAAAAAATCAATAAAACATTTAAAAAAAAATTTTTGGTTCTTCTCATGAATTTTCTGATTACTTAGAATGTGAGCATCAACTGGTCAAGTTTTTGCTGAGTCCAATCTTAAGTATTTTTATATTTCATAAAATATATATTTTATATTTCCTTGTTGCTCAGATATATTTTTCCTATTGAAGATACAGACCAAGGACTGGCAGACTTTTTCTTTAAAGGGCCAGGTGGTAAATATTTTAGGCTCTGTGGGCCACATGATCTCTGCTGCTACTAACTTGGTCATTGCCACTGGAACACAGAGCTGCCATAAAAAATATGTAAACAAATGGGTACAAAACTTGATTTACAAAAACAGGTCAGGTTTGGTCTGCAGGCCAGTTTACTAACCCCTGATATAAAAAAAGATTAATTTTTAAAGTTACCTTGTGTCTGGACTTTGTAATGAATTTTCTAATGCAATATTTTAGTTGAGTCAATGCTGGCAATTATACAGACAAAAGATAATTTTGTCCCAACTTTTCAATCTTTATACCACCTACTCCTTTTTATAGTCTAGTTGCACTGGCTACATAACTCTAGAGCAATACTCAGCTATATTGCTAACAGGAGGTATTGTAAATGGCAAGACTATTTTTTCACCTTCAAATACGACGTTGCTATGATTTTCTGAAAAATGTTCTTTATCACATTCACGTTTTAGATATAGTTGCATCATATCTCTTTTAAGATCCCTTCTAATTTCAATATGAAGTCATCACTGCTTTCTTACAACTGTAAACAAGAAGCTCTCAGTACCCCCACTGAACCATCCATTGTCCCACTGAACACCACTGACCTGCTTTTACTTAACAGGTGTCTTCCAGATCTTCTGATTCAATTACTTGAACCTCTAGACAACATGGAAGAAAGTTAATTCTTCCCAGGGATTAAAGAAAATTAAGTAGGAAATGAAACTTTTGTTTGTTTGTTATAGAATTGTTTTGCTTTGAGATTTGTCAATAAAAATATATCACTAAAGTAACCTTTGAATAGTAAATGTAAACTTAATTAAAAATTCAGGAATGTTCTAGAGAGATAGGGGGCAGAAGGTCCAGAGAAAAACAAATTACTAAGACTTATATGAGAATGAAACCTACAATGATTATTTCTGAGAAGCTTTGGTCCAACATGTAAGCCCTCAAGCACATACAACTTTTAAAATATGTGTTTGAAGTTGACAATTAATAAATGCATATATGTTTACATTCAAATATTTTAAAATTTCCCCTAATAAGCATTCATATACTCACAAAGATGTCAATGGAAGTGCATATTCATATCCTAGGCAAAAACTGATTTACTGTTGGTATGAAACTTAATATTTCAATTAGTCAAAAGCTTTCCATTTGAAATTCACTTCCCAAAAATAAAATAAAAACAAATGCAATCAGTATTTCCAAATTTAATTTCTCTGAAAAACTAAAAATGTATCCAGCTATAAAAATATGAGGTACACATTACAGAAAAGACACACTTACCATAAATATTTCCAAGAATATTTTAAGGCCCAGATACTTAAAATGCAACAGGCAATACATAGTAAATATTTTCATTTAATTAATAGTATGAAATCCTCAGAAACACTTTTGTACATTAGATCTATTATTTACAAAAACAGAAAAAAATTAAAAATACAAATATTAAAGGCAATCATCAAAATTAAAGTTTAGCATAGACTATTATTTATATGAACAATGTAAATAGGTAGAACCGTCAATCTGATTTAATATAAAATACATTTCTGGCATATAATTATTTTTAAAATGAGAATTATTAATTTTAATTCATCCAAGTATTAATTCAGCCAAGGGAACACTATAACCCTCCTAAAGATTTGAGATTTATAGTTTAATATTAGACATTTTCTCGATACATAGAATATTCTGATCAGCACTGAATGACATTGTGCAGAGACATGTATCAAGTGCTCCATAGCTTATAACAAGTCTAACTGCTATCAAAATTCCTCGATAAAAATATCACTGTAGCCCTGGCCAGTTTGGCTCAGTGGTTGGAGGGTCAGCCTGCGGATCAGAGAGTCCAGGTTCGGTTCCCGCTAGGGGCATGTACAAAATATATGTATATATATATATATATATATATATACGGTGATTTTATATATATATGTATAATCACTGTAATTGTATGAGGCAAAGTCCTATCATAAGAATGTAATAATGGTCACAATCTGTTCAAAAACAAAATATGGACGTTTTTGTCTTCAGAACTATGAATTTGGTTTTCCAAAATTTAGTTCCCAAAGCCAACTTCTAAATGTTACAAGCAGAGGTAGGGAGGTAATGAAAATAAATGATTTAATGGAACTCTGACGGAAAAAGTAACTATCGAAGATCGTAGTTTGAAAAATATATCTGGTGTAAGAGATATTCAGAATTACATAATAATGCCTACATCAGAACTGACTGGTTCGCTAAGGGGCAGAAAACAAGCAGCAAGTAGAATGTAGTAACATTTGCTTCGACCAAGCAACCTGAGTAGTGTGCTAAGTGTTAGGGTGGGAGAGGCAAGAGCTCAGCCAGGCGAAGTTTCCTCTTGGACCTTCTATATAAACATCTATTTTAGTTCTGGACTGTTCTTCAGTGTGGTCCCATGGTACCCACCCACAAAATGCTTCCCGGAGCAACAGGTCCTGGTCTAGTGGCTCTAGAAAGGCAGCTGGGTCATCTGAGGTCCCTTGGGCACCATGTGACCTTGGAAGTACAGAAAAATAAAATCCAATTTGCATAACAAGTTAAACCATCCTCATAGGACTCTTTAGTGAACTGAATTATTCAAATGCCAGCTAAAAGCACAGATTCTAGCTACAAACCACAGAGAAGGATCTGTCTGAAAACGCCCGTGAGAAACCACAGTGTGACCAGGCAGTTTACTGGCCCTCTGTCCTCCTAGAGCCAGGGCTTTTGAGCGTCCTGGGAACCCTCAGCTCCCTTGAGCTGTCTTTCCAAATAAACTCTTAATGCACCAAGTTGAAGGCCTTTATGGGCTCTGTAATCCTGTCAACCACATAGGCTGCAGTTGCTTTAGGGGATTTTATTTCTTTGGAAAATGTGGGCAAGTATTTTGATATCACCTAAGTAGAATAGGCAGGTAAGCACTGTTCACCCCATCCCAGTGATGCTGCGCTAGGGAGCGGCCAGAAGGCAGGCAAGGGGGCCCCAGCAGCAGAGCCCTGCGCGCAGCCTGGGCGCTCTTCCCGAGGGCGCGCCCAGCCACGTGGCAGTTTCCTGTGTGGCAAAGGAAGTCCTTCTCAGTCCAAAGTCACAAGCTTCTGCAGAACCGCAAGCACAACTGTGTAGCAAAAGCAATACTGCTCCTGTACGTGGAAAACAGCGGAACGTTAAATAGCTGAATACCAATGCCCACTTGTGGAGAACACATGCAGTCTTCCACTACAGCCCTACAGAGCGCACACTTAACTGCGGACTTCTTCACATAGATACATTTTGTTAAATATCGGAAAGATATTTAAAAGATCACAATATAGTTCTTGGTCCAGAACTAAAGGCTTAACTGATTGGAGGGGAAACGGACTCTCAAACCAATCTATTTGTCCTGGGCAAATCAAACTTCAAACTTTCTTTTAGATATAGCCTCAGGGCCCTCAGACAACACTAATTCAAATATGATGCTTCTTATTATTCAACACTGGCCTAAAAACAGGTCAACCTAAAGATTTAGGGGTAGCTATTTGTTTTCATTATCCATACTCTCTTAACCCACCCACACCCAATTAATAATTAACCTGTGACAGAGTGATATCATCTTATGCAAGCCAATGACTTTAATATTTTAGTGGCATGTAAATAAAATACCCCAGAATTGCTATCCATACATTTATGAAAAGTTGAGGCATGTTACTCAAACCTCACGGCAGGTGGAGGAAACTGACTAGGCACCAGGAGAGCAGTCTCGTCCTGGCCCCGTCTTGCTGAGTGACCTATGGGACAGACTGCTCGCTCTGAACGTGAACTTCTACATCAGTAATGCCAGAGAGCAGAACCATGTCCACCTCAGAAGTGAGAACCGGGACATGGGGGTAAAGGAGCGTCATGAACTGTAGCGTGCCCCACGTGTCCACCTTCACCCACCATTCACGGGAGCGGGCGCGGTGCGCGCTTACCTTTGTCTGAACCATGCCACAGCGCTGCTCTCTCATTTGAGCCACTATATTTTTGATGTTGAACTGCAACAGGATGACAGTAATTGTATGTTATCCGTATGTGGGGGAAACATACACCCACAGATTGCCAAATGAGTGCTGCATCCTGCTTTCCAGTAAAAGAGATGTCAAGATTTAACCAGAAAGATCTCATTTTCAGTCATAAGACAATGTACTATTTTTAACCTAGTCTAATGGATAAGGATGACTTATATAAATGGGTTTCCAGGAAAAAGCAGAAAGCAATCATTTATAACAAGAAATGCTCTCCAAAAGAAATAACAACAAATTTTTCCCTGTGTATACTTTTCTGCTCTCCAAAGGGAGAACTTAAAGCAGCATTATGATTCTGGAAAAGTCTGAAGCCTGGAAGACTTGTTCTGGCCACAACAGCAGCACAGCTGTTTCTCATAAGCAGGGCCCTCTGCACTCCAGGGAGCCCCGAGCCGCAGCTGGCCCGTCACAGAGTCTGCACGTGTGCACGGGGACCTGCTCTGCCCAGCGCCATCGCTGAGCTGGTGCCAGTCTGCAAAAGGCTGTGCTGGTCACAGCACAAGGAGGCCAGAAACTAGCAGTACGTTCAGAAACTCTTCCGTCAGTCCGACAATGACACAGCATCACGGAGTGTCACCGGGGCACAGTCCACAGACCAGCTAGGCTGCTGCTGAAGGTGCCTGGGCACTCAGGGGGAGCTGAGGACAGTCATGTGCAGCAAGACCATGATGGTACCAGAAAAGGTTTAGGTTTGTCAACCATAACCCAAAAGTATGTAAAAATCATTTATTTTTATAACTTGTCTTCTTTTTTTAATCCTCACCCGACCATATTTTTCCACTTATTTTCAGATAGAGTGGGAGGGAGGGGGAGAGAGAGAGGAGGGAGACAGAGAGGGACACACATTGATGCGAGAGAGACACACTGACTGGTTGCCTCCTGCACGACCCCAACCAGGGCCGGGACGGACCGCAACCAAGGCACGAGCCCTTGACTAGAATCAAGCCCATGACTCTTTGGTCCACAGGACAACATTCTAACTGCTGAGCCAAACCGGCCAGGGGTAATTTGTCATTTTTATAATAACTTAACATTTTAAAAGTTTTATATTGAAATAATTATATATACACAGTAAGTTGCAAAAAAAAAATGTACAGAGAAATCCTGTGTATCTTTCACCCAGTTTCCCCAAATTATACCACCTGCGATAGCAACAGTATAATATCAAACCCAGAAAACTGACATTGGTCAGATTCTGCCAGTTTTACATCCGTCACTTGTGACTTGTGTGTGTTTCTGTGCAATGTTATCAGACATGAAAACCCATGCAACTGCAACCACAATCCAGATGCTTAGCTGTTCTACCACCAGACTTCCTTAAGCTTTCCTCAGAACTGCCATCGGACAACCCTGACCCTTGGCAACCAGCGACCTCTCCTCCCTCTCGATAGTTTGTCATGTAGAGGAATAGATGAATGAAATGATGAAATATCTAACCTTTTGAAACGGACTTTTTTTCCTTCGGCATTGTTGCCTTGAGACCCATCAAAATTGTTGTGTATGTTAATAGTTCTTTCCTTCTTACTGCTAAATAGTGGTCTGTGGTCTGGAAATGTACCGAAGTTTTCACTTCAACTTGTGGAAGGACATCCTGGCTGTTTCCAGTTGGGGTTATGAATAGACCTGTGGAGAACATTTGTGTACAGGTTCTGTGTGTACGAGTTTTCATTCCTCTGAGATAAGTACTCAAGAGTGCTACTTTTGGGGTTATATGGTTAAGTTTAGTTTAGTATTTTTAAAGAAATTATAGCACTCTTTTCCAGAGTGGGTATACTATTTTACATTCCCACAAGTAATGTATAGTTAATCCAGTTTATTCAGATCTTCACTAGCACTTTTTACCACTATTTTTTGCATTAGCCTTTCTGATAGATGTCCAGTGAGATTTCATCATGGTTTTCATATAATTTTCCTAAAGGCTAGTGAAGCTAAGCATCTTTCCATGTGCTTATTTGTCACCTACACATTCTCTTTGGTGAAATGTCTGTTCATGTCTTTTACCCACTTTATAATTGGATTGATATTTTTGCTTTCTTTCACAATTCAGTTTTGAGGGCTATTTATTATTCTCCATGCCGGCCTTTGTTGGATATATGGCTCACAGTTTCTCTAAGTGCACAGCTTGTCTTTCAGCCTCTTCATTGGATCTTTCACAGAACAAATAATTTTAATTTGCTCTCCCCTAATATCAGTGATGGCAAGATGTCTTCTCTCACCACCTATATTCAACACAGCAAAGGAAGTTGTAGGTTGTGTGATAAGGCCAGAAAAAAAAAGGATAAGGGGAATATGAATTGGAAAGAAAGAGATTAATCTGTCCCTATTTGTGAATGGAATGTTTGTCTATGTAGAAAATCCCAAGGAATCGAAAAACAAAACAACCTCTTAGATCTGAGTTCAACAAGATTACAGGATATAAGATCTACACACAAAAATTAATTGTACTTTTACATAAGAACATGAATGTATGGAAACTGATAGTAAAAATACAATACCATTTACAATTATACCAAAGACAACAAAATAAGTTTAACAAAGCATGCACAGAATTTGTCTGCTGAAAATGACAAAATGCTAATGAAAGAAATCAAAGACCTAAATAAATGGAGAGGCATACCATGTTCATGAATTAAAAGATTCAACATAGTAAAGATGTCAATTCTCCCCAAATTGATCTAGATTTAAAGAAATTCCTATAAAAATTCCTGCAAGGTTTTCTGTAGACATAGACAAGCTAATTCTAAAATTTGTATGGGAAGGCACAGACCCTATATTTGTTCAAACAATTTGTAAAAAGAAGACTAATGTGAGAGGAATCACTCTACCTGATGTGAGGATTATTATATAACTACAGTAATCCACAGTGTGGCACTGGCAAAGGAATAGACACGCAGATTAAAGGAACAGAACACAGAATGAAAAACAGTTCCATACAAAATGCTCAATGATTTCTGACAAAGGTGCAAAAGCAACTCAGTGAAGGAAGAGCCACCTTTTCTACAAATGGTTCTGGGACAATTGAGCATCTGTAGGGCAAAAACAAGAAGAAAGAAAGTCAACCTTGACCTAAACCTCACACCTTATTAAAAAATTAACCCCAAATGGATTGTGGACTTAAATGCAAAACATAAAACTGCAGAACTTTCCAAATACAGCAGAGGAAAAATTCTTTGCAATCTATGCTGATGAGTACTTAGACTTGGCAACAAAAGCGTGATCCTTCAAAGGAAATATTGATAAAATGAAACCTCACTGAATTTAAACACCACTGCTTCTTTGAAAACCAGTTTTATAATTTACAATTTAAAATTAGATGAATTGTGGAAATAAATCTGTATTTTTCTAGCCTCAGTTTACTGGTGGCAGACAAGCGTCACTGGACTGTTGTCGTAAAAGGACAGACTTCTGAATGCAGTTGTGGTGACTGACCACATGAGGCTCACGGAAGCAAAATGGGTCAGAGAAATGGAGACCCAAGAAACTCGTGTTAATTTTACCCGGAATTATGATTCCTCACGTATTGAGTTTCATAGCCATTATTGATTATGAACTGCTAAAACCACACTTGTGTTCACTGCATGGATGTACTGACTAACCAAGCAAAGCAAGCATTAATATTACTTGTCATGTACATAAAAAAATAATAATTTCAGAGACAAAAGAATTATTTTAAAGAATATTAATTAAAAATCCAACAGAAAGTGATGTTCAGTATTTCACATGGAACAGCAGTGCTCTGCAGACTTATAAAGTAGCACTTGGAACTGCTAAGAGTAAAAATCCATTCACAATTGCCGAGACAACGGTAAAAACTGCATTAAACATGCCTTCCTGAGAATGCTGGGTAAATACAGGGATGAGCAAAAGTAGGTTTACAGTTGTGAGTGCATGAAACAGAGTTTAGCCCTGGACAGTTTGGCTCAACGGTTAGAGCGTCGGCCTATGGACCAGAGAGTCCCGGGTTTGGTTCCCGCTAAGGGCACGTATGTACCTCGGCTGCAGTTTGTCCCCGGCCCCAGTTGGGGTCTTGTGGGTGGCAACCACTCTATGTGTCTCTCTCATATTGATGTTTCTCTCTCTCTCTCTCTATTCCCCCCTTTCTCCCTCCCGCTCTATCTGAAGATAAATGCAAAAATGTCCTCTAGTGAGGATAGAAAAAATATATATAAACAGTTTATTCTTGTATTATTATTATTGTATTTATTATCATTGTTGTTATTAACCTACTTTTGCCCACCATTGTATGCTGCAAAAAAAAAGTTAAAATACCATTTTCTAATGACACCACAGCTTGGTGAGTCCAGGGACTGGTTAATGATGTGGAGTGGTACTTATTTATGAAACAAAAGTAGCAAGTTATCTACCAATGAAACCTAATGAGCGCACACATGCTGCTCACACAGTGCTTCAGTGGCGTGTGGTCTGCACACAACACGACACTGAGGAGGAAGCCGTGTTCCATCAGTGTGATTACTCACACACACTGTACAAGAAGGCAGGGCCCCGCAGTGCCACCACGGCCGCTCGGAGCCCAAGTGTTGTGGGTCACGTCCCAGGAGAAGAGCTGCAATGACCAGAAAACTGTCTAAAGCAGTGACACAGATTAAGGAATTTATGCCAGAAGGTAAATCAACAAATGCTTCATCCAGAAAGTCTTCATAAAAAAAACAAAACACCTGCCAGATGAACTGAACTGTGTGCTTAGCGGCGCAGCAAGAACCTGGGTTACTGCTTCGTCGTGAGACTGGTGGCTGCAGAGGGCGGGGGCGCTGTGCAGAGCCTCTGAGCTCCAGAGAATCTGTCTCCAAAGTTTCAGGGAATTTTTTTCTTTACTGATTTTTAAGTAAAATCAGAGGAAGGGAGAGGGAGTGAGATACAAACATTGATGAGAGAGGACATTGGCTGCCTTCTGCACGACCCCCACTGAAGTTCAGGCCCACAACTGGGCATGTGCCCTGACCAGGAATCAA